ATGAAGGTTAATAATTACTAGATTGGTGCTTAAATAAACATAACTTGCAGACCAGACAGACAAAATAAATTTGAATTTTGCAACTTATTTTATCCATGTGTAAACTTAATTTAAAAAATTTAAATTTAATTTGAAATTTATTTAAAAAAAATTTACAAAACAGTAAATTATAGGGATGTTAATTTAAAACATCTTTTTAAAATTATTCTTTAATTTATATATATATTTTTTTTAATTGCATTTGTTTAATATTTTTTGAAATTTATTTTAATTTGCTTGGCTTTATTTTTATTGTTTTAACTTTAGTTTAATTTTCTTTCTTTTTATTGTTTAAACTTTAGTTTAATTTTTGTTCTTTATTTTATTTTTTAAACTTTGCTTTATTGTTTTTAACTTTTTTTTTAATATTTTGACTTTAATTAAATTTTTTAATTATATGCATTTTGATTTTGTTAAAATTTTGAAAATTTTTGTATTTTCTTTTATTCCTTTTAATTTTTCTTAGCTTTTTTTTATTTTCTCAGCTTTAATTTGTTTTTAATTTTTCTTAGCTTTGAAATTGTTTTTCTTTTTTTAATTCTTCTTAGGTTTGATTTTTTTATATTTTTTTTTTTTAGCTTGGAATTGGTGTTTTTTTTTTTTTATTTTTTTTTAGTTTTTTTATATTTTTGTATTTGTTTTTTTTTTTTTTAATTTATTCATAGTTATTGTATATTTTTGTAGTTGTTTTTTTTTTAGATTTAGTTTTCATTTAAAATTTTTACTTTTGGTTTCAATTTTTTAGCAATGTTATTGAGCTATGTATGTACCAGCAACGCTAACTCCTAGCTATGCACACCCGCAAATTCTTGTTGCACATCGATGACGCGGGTTAGATTCCTGTTGAAGTCCGTGAAGTAATTTAGTTATCCTTTAGTGGAAATCGAAGTTATTACCACATTCACCCTTGCATGGACTAAAAAGTACCAGTTATCAGTTATAAACTTCTCCGCCTAGCATAGCAACAAAATGATAGTGTTTAATGCAACTACCATGTATGCTTGTGTGCGTGTGTGGTTTTATTTGCTTCCCTCTTGGATGTCCTTCCATGCGGTGGGAATTAATTTCGAAAGCACAGATGTGTGTTAGTCCTTGCGCAAACACACGAACATAAAATAAAGGCCATTCAGCCGAACAAATATCACACACACACATGCAAAGATACTGTCGGGTAAATGGAAAATGTGTGCATGACCGTCGTGTACGTGTGTGTGTGTGTGTGCGTGCATTGCTGTGTTATATCCCTGCACTTGTTGTCGCATCAATTGCAATTGAACACTTTGTCCACGACTGCGTGGCTGCGACTGGGGCTGCGGCTGTGGCTGCTGTTGCAACTACATATTTATGTATGTATGGCTGTTTGCCACGTTCTACGCGGCCGCAGTTGAGGTCGATTCTAGACGAGCTACAAACTTTGTATTGTTGCTATTGTTTTTGTCAAGTTGCGACAGCTGCATTGCAGTCATTTTTGTTGTTGCCTCAGTGGCTGTCAGTTGCCACACACATTATTATCATAAATAAGATTTTGCTGTTGCTGTGCAATGGCTTGTGGGGCGCTTTATTCATTATTATGTTTGTCTTTGTTGTTGTTGTTGGTGGATTTATGTTAATGCTTGATTTTGTTCTTGCTGCTGATTGTGCGCTGTGTGCTGTGTGCGGTGGCAAGCGCAATCGATCGCATTTATGCGTGGAAAAAGTAGATAATTGTTTTGGTGCGAATGTTTTTGGTTCGAGCTCTACTTTCCTTTTCTGTTTACCTTTCGTTTTAATGGCTATCTTCTAATCTGAATGACAACTTAAGCTCAGTTAGTATCCGGTATAAAATATGTGTCTTTCTTTTATGGAGAATTCTGTTGCCTTGCAATGGCGCAGTCCGTCCCGACATCGGTGAGAAGCAAAACAATGGCAAACTTTTCTACTAGACAACATTGGCTTCACCGAACCAGTGTCTTCGGTTATCTAATTAAGTTTATTTAATTTTTTTTTTTTTTTAATTAATATGTATGTATTTGCCATATTCTTATTTAAAAATTCCTTATTTGATGTTATTTTTTTATTTTTTTGGCATGAGTATTAATTTCATAAAAAGAGCAAAGAATAAAGTAGATTGGATCAAAGCGAAGAATTGACTTAATAAAATCAATATTAAAATTTATAGTTCTCAAATTTTTACTATAAAATTGAAAATTTATAGCACTGCAAACTACTACATCGCATATGAAAGAAATACTTGACCATGTGAAATACGAAAGAATACTTCTTCTCTTCTTATTTGGCACTACAACTGTTTGTTCTTTTGTTTCGAGACCAAAAAGCTTCTCCAATTGCCTCTTTCCTGTGCGATTTTGTGCAGACAGGTCCTTTTGCACTTGGTCCTTCCATTTTTTTTTTTGGGAAGAATACAAATTTTCGAAGTTCTTTAGGCTACTAGCCACGTATCGACCCGTTTAAAATACTAACGAGAGCACTTCAACTTGGTAGGAATCAAGTTCCACACAAAAACCAAACATCGAAATCGACAGAGACAGATCCTCATAAAAACTTACTGCCATTCGAAGGTGGCTATAAGTACTTATGGTTGGTTGATTGAGTGTCTAGTAATTCAATATGATCCTGTACAACTTCTCCTCTGCTTAGCTTTCGAGTGGTAAATGTCGGTAATTCTGCTTTTTAGTACACCGAGCGAGACGCCTCACTCCTACGCTTGGGTCACATTTAGTACCCTACTACTTCATAAGCTGTCTCACAGCTGTGACTTGCAAACGTTTGCTTGATCCGGTAAGCGAAAGGATAACTTCAGCCATCTGTAAAGACAGCCATGCCCTTCGAACACTGGGCCCCTCTTTTTGAAAACAGTCACTGCGCTTCTATATTAGATTGGAGTGTAACTAGGATGCCACTGTAGCCAGCCAATCCTTGTCTCTAATTTCCATCCGTTGTCTACATGTGTAAATCCGTTTCTTAACGTTGTTCTGTTTCCTCGAAATTTGGGACTGAAATGCCCAATACAATTCATATAAGGGTAACGCCAGAATTAAAGGCAAAGATCATTAAGGAGAAAATCAGGGTGCAGTTGAAGATGAAAATGAAATTGAAGATAAGAGATGAAGATGAATATAAAAATGGATATGAAGATAAGAGGAAGGTGAAGATCAACATGTAGATGAAGAAGAAGATGGAGATGAGATGTTTTAAGGTGAATATGAATCTGAAGACAAAGATGAAGCTGAAGATGGTAACGAAGATGATGATGAGGCTAAAGAATAATATAAAGATGAAAATAAAAATAAAGATAGAGATAAAAATAAAAATAAGGATAAAGATAAAAATAAAGATGACAATAAAAATAAAGATAAAGAGAAAATATTAAGGTAAGGATAAAAATAAAAATAACGATAAAGACATACATAGAAAAAAGATAAAGCTCATAATTTAGATTCAGACGAAGACTAAAAATTATAACTAAAGATATTAGCAAATATCTTGCAAACGTTCTCATACCTGGAATTTTTTCTATAAAGTTTCACTTTTTTCGCGCAAATGGACTATACGCGCTAAGTTGTTTGTTTTTTTTACATGATGCTACGATGCGAAGTTATTATTCTTCGGAATATTTTTAAATTTTAAATCAAAGCTTCGCCGATGTGAAAACGTTCGGATAAAATTTCGGTTCTTCAAAAAAAAAAAAAATAATAATAATGCCCGTTTGGCGTCGTTTCCTATTCTGAAAGTTGTATTTTACTCAAATTATTAAGCTTATAAAATTAGTTTCATCGCATTTGGTTACGATCACTGTCAAATGAGCCAAGTGTGAAGCAAAAGAAATTACTAGGCAACTCCTATGCCCAATTTGTTTTGCATAGAATTGTATTTCCGTCACTTTATGTAAATTGCAGTCAAATATAATTTGTAATGCTGATCGATTATGTCAAATTTCAAATGAATCCATAGGTACTAAATTTTAGAATTTCAAATTAAACTTTACTCTTCTTTTAAATTTCCAATTATGAAATTCTGCGCATATTTTTTGCTTAAAACATTACACATAAACATTTCACTACATACTAAAAATAAACTATGCATTTTTAGTGCTCGAAAAAATGTCCGAATCAATAATGACCCTTGCGCCGGATTTTCGCTCAAAATCAATAGGCCGCCCCACGCCACGCAGACGGAGTGCTTGTTCAAATGTATCGGAAAAAAGGACAAACAACACTAACAAAAAAGCATATATAAAATAATAAATCCAACGAGCCACGCAATTAATTAAAAAGTGAATACAATAAACTACAAAATAAATGAACGCATCGCATCAGCAGCAGCAGCAGCTAAAAGTTTGCGCATTCATCTGAAATTGACGCATTTTTTCACATCCATAATTTTACATGTATGAGCAAGCAAAAAATGCGCAATTTTCTCTCTTACTTCCATTACTTCCATTTGTATTTGCGTCTAATATGAAAGGCCATCAAGTAAACATGAGTTAATAGTTGGGGAAAAAATAATAAATGTACATATGTACATATGAGCCAAAAAACAAAATATCCGCGGATTTATTAAAGTTGCGCTGAATTGATGTGAATTGTGATTGTGAAAAAAATAAATGAAATGAAATAAAAGTCGAAGTTGTTGTGGTGGCGTGGCAATGTAAATTAATTGTGAAATGCGCGAATTTATATCCTGCAAACTTTTGCATTTGCACATTTCAATGTGTGTGTGTGTGTGTGTGTTTATACAATACACACACAAGAATACTTGTACGGGTGCAACACATGCATATCCGATGTGCAAACAAAGGAATGACCGCAAACAAAAAGTGTTGCTCAATATTCACAATGTTGTATTTATATAGTACTATGTACATGTGAAAATATTTATGCGCAAAAAAAAAAAAAATTCGAATACACAAACGCCTTCCCCCGCCTAACAAAAACTACAATAAAATGAGTTTTTATGCAAATAATAAATTTTTGTGCTGCAGCGCATAAATTTTCACACAAAAAACTATGTACATTTGAAAAGGTTATTGAAAAGTATCCTCGCACACGTAGCGCTGCATGTGCGCATGTGTGTGTGTGCGTGTGTGCGTGTGTGCAGACAAACCAACCACCATTTGAGTTGAAAGAAAACTCGTCGTTTATCTGGGAATTATGTCAGATAAAAAATGGCAAATTAATGTGGAACAGCTGAAGCGAATATATTTAATACTAGTTTGCTCTAACCCGCTTTGCTGAGTGTATGCAATTTCTGTGTGCTACATTAGGAGCGATTTATTTAAAAAAAAAACTCGACATATTTAAACGCAAAATATTAAAATTTTTTTAACTTTCAAAATATTTTCAAACCAAAACTTTCTTAAACCTCTTTTTTATGATACATTTTCATATAACGTCTGAGTTGAAGCTAAACTTGAGTTTTTAATAGGTGGCAATTCTCGTAAATTTAGTTTAGAAATGAAAGCTTTTCAAAACCATATCGATTGATACCCATATTATAATAATTCATTTAAATTAATTGAGTTAAATTTTTAAACAGTTGGCAAACCCTAGTAAAACACCTCAAAAGTATTTTAAATTTTCAAACTAAAGGTTTCTTAACAATCTTTCGTTTGACAGCCATATACTAATCTTGCCTAAATTTGACTTTTCAAACAGGCGGCAACCCTTTCCAAAATATTTTCAAACTACAACTATTTGAGGTATATTTTGCAGCAAAAATTATTAAAAGGGACATTACAAATAACAAGTAATTTTTAGCAAAAAAAAAACCGACTTAAAAAAAATATATATATATCTATATATTTCATAATTCAATGACCGGATCTAAACCAAATTAGTATGGGACCACCTCTGAGACACAAAATCGGTTGACGTGGTCCAAAGTTATGCGGTAACATACATAAAAAAAAAATAAATAAAAAAAAAATAAATAAAAATAAATAAAAAAAAAATATATCTATTCCGACGAACTGATAACCTCCTCCTTTTATGGAAGTCGGTTAAAAAAGGGAATTTCATTTAACACAATTATCGTTGCATAATTTATCAAAATTTAAGAATATCCGACACTTGCGTAATTAAACGTTCTGAAGATGTGATATGGAGTAAAATTAGGTATAAGTTTAAAAATTATAAGGAAAATTTTGAAATTTTTCTCTCGTTAACACATTCATGCACTGAGTAAGAAAAAATCTTCAATTGTAACTGGTGTTTAATGTAAAAAGCAAAACCAATTATCTGATGATGTGCTAAATAGTACATGTATATTAAATAACGGTTGCTTTTGAATCAAAAAAGTCAAGTCCCAGCAAAAAATCGGTAATAGCTTTTAGTGGTAAAGTGTTCTAGAAAGCAAATTTTTTCGCTTCTTTTAGGCATTTGCCGGTAACGCAAAATATAATGTCCTACAATATTTTATTTATTTCGCTTCTTCGTTTCATTTCGGGGGGAATGCAAAGTAGAATGCGTAGAAGTAGAAGTAGAAGAAGCGATTTTTCCCGATTTTCGTGGGTATTTTAACAGAGAATGTCTGGCATCACACTGCACCTGAAATGCAAAAAGGCGTAACGCCAGCGTAAACAAAATGGAAAAAGTCGTGACTAATATTTTCATTTATTTTTTGTTTCTTAAAATGTAATTTGATGAAATCCAAGATATAAATTAAAAAGAGAATTTTCAATTTTTTATTAGTTACGACTTTTTGTATTTCTACGATGATGTTTTTTTTTTGCATTTGAGGTGACTATATCGAGCCCTAACCGCCAAAATAACGTAAGCGACATTTTTTTCGAAATTTTATTTTTGATGCAGAAATGCATCTAGATGCTCTAGGAATATTTCTGCATCAAAAATAAAATTTTGAAAAAAATGTCGCTTACGTTATTTTGGCGGTTAGGGCTCGATATGTACATACGTACATATGCCCTTGATACCCAACATTTTTTGGTTTGGTTATTACAAATAAAATACTATTCTGAAGATAAAAATCTACAGCTAAAACGTACTAACTTGGGTCTTACACAACCGAAACGTAATTGTCCTTTTGGTTTTCTGCACCACATTCACTGAATGGGGTGTCGTAAAGCCATGCGCATGAAAATTTCATACAATTAAATTTGCGCTAAAATGCAAAGGCCATAAATAAAATAAAACAAAAACGAAATTAAATTATACGTCAGCCATTGTTTTTTATTTTATTCTTGCCACAAGAGATGAAAATATTCATGTCCAGGTTGTCTCGTGTTTACCCACGCCGCAGCTCGCCGACTGCCATTGTACACCGTTGTTGCGCCGTGCGGTTTAACAATTTTATAGCTTTTTTGATATGTATTAAAATTTCATATTCGTTTATAAATTAACGCGCAGCACTTTATGGCAGCGGACAGTCGAGTAGACTAACAAACGGACAATGGTTCGTAAGAACTCTGCTTACTTACTTACTTTTATTTATTTATTTTCACTCTGCTCTCCTCGTCGGAATCATTGTTTATAACTTCTACTTTTCCTTCTCTTTTGTGTGTTTTTTTGTTTTCCAGTATCCTGAACCGAATCGACCTTGGCCCGGCGGCACATCGCCCGCACCTAGTCCTGGGCCTGGTGGCCATCCGCATCCCCCAGCATCACCGCATCAATCACAGCATGGCGGCCCACCGCCCAGCAGTAGTCCTGGACATGCACCGAGTCCTTCGCCACAGCCATCGCAGGCGTCACCATCACCACATCAGGTAATTAATTTTCATCGTTATGCTGCGCGCACAAAAGCGGCACTTTACCTCCTCTCTTTTTCCTCTTAAATTCACACATGCAGTTTGTCTGTACGCCATACATACATACGTACATATGTATGTATATCTGTATATACGATTGAGCAAACTTCACAGTTGTAATAAAATGAATTTCATTTCCATCGACACTGCGTCGCTTAAACAAATTAAAGTGGAACATATTGTACCTCCCGCTCTGGATACGGGACATGTAAAAATTATAACAGCGCCAGGCGTCGCTTGCCGGCTGAGTAACAATAATTGTGTGTCTGTGTGTGTGCGTGTGCGTGTGGGTGGGTGTGTGTGTATTGAATTGATGTCATCATACGGCACGGCCGCAACTGCGCCACTGTTTGTGTTACTGAAGAAAAAGTTAACCGGGAACAGTGAATAATCATGAAGAATAACAAATAAATCCGTTTGAGTGGCAGAAAGTGGGACAGGTAAAAGTTGTCAGAGAGACAGAAGCAAGCAGTAAGGCCTGAAAGACAGAAAGTATGTATGAACATATGTATGTGTATATGTGTGTATAGTAGGTGTTATTATTGCATATTGGTTGGAGTTGTAGGATGCTTGCCGGGACATGGTAGCTTAAGCGTGCGGTTGAATGAATAAATGAATGAACGCTTAAACAGTTTAAGTTGCTTTTCAGCTGTTGCTCTCAAGTTGTCGTGTGCTTGCGATTTGATTCTCAATTTCTGTTAAAAGGGTTGTGCAAATTAATAATTTTTAATCCATTATTTTTAATTCAAAAACAGCAAAATGAAAATATTGAACAAATTAAAAAAAGCAAGATAAAAGCTAACAAAATGCGCAGTAAAATTCATTGAAACCACAAAATAGAATAATAAAAAAAAATATTTAGAAGACGAAAGTTCAAAAAATTAAAAAAACAGAAAAAGTGGATAGAATGAAAAATTAACAAAAAAATAATGGTAATGAATAAGAGAGGGTAAACTACAAAATCAAAAAAAAAAGTGAAAAGTAATTAATCTAAAAGGAAAATACCTAAATAAACGATAAAAAGTTACAAAATATACAGAAACAATAAAGAGTATAAAAAAACTAAGCATATAAAAATAACAAAAAGGTATAAAAAATAAAAATACATACATATGTAT